AATCGTTTCCAACCTCTTTTGTAGTTTCCGGTTAGCTACCTGCGTTTTGGCCAACTTTCTCTGTAGTCGTTTGATCTTCTTGTTGGGCCCACTTCGTCGTTTGCTCTTATTAAAGTCCATTTTGATGATAACTTTTTCTCGGTCACGTTTCCCTGCCCTGTATCTCCTCATCCTTTCTCTTGCTTTTGCATTTCTTCTCTCCCTGGCTTCAGGACTCAACGAGGCCGCTGGCATGTAGTGTTTCATGACACGTGCAACCTCTCTTGCTTTGAACTCTTCGCCCTCCTTTGCCTTCTTCCTCTCCCTGTAGGCTCGCTGGATTTCTGCCCGTGACTTTCCCATCTACGTAAAACCAACATAAACACTGTTTAAAACACACATAAACAAAACTTGTGACAGTAAGGTGCAATAATTAAATAGTAGTGAATGTTGGTACAATGTCAGCCAATGGGTAAGGCAAGTCTATAGCATGACGATTAACAGGCTCTGTTTCATATCTTTGAAATACAGTGTTTACAAGCTATAAAAACACACTGTGCTCACATATATATTGCATATGAAGTTATTAACCGTATGTAGGAATGGTTTGAAGAGAACGGGAACGATTTCTACCGAGGTCAAAACCTCCAGCTGATGTTTACGTACGTCACAGATGCCACTTGCCCCTGCATGGGAAACAGTACGTAGCTATTCTACCAACTACGTTCATTCGACAGCAAACGTGAGGTAAACAGCCAACTTACAGGTCGTTTGCTCCTTGACAGATATATATTACGATCATACCTTTCAAAATGTTAAATGACAGTTAAAATTAGCAATTTTTAGCATACCTTTTCTCTCTACATATGCACAGCTCAAGTCGAGTCAAAAACAGCGCCTCCAAGGTCGTTATCCAGAACGAGGCTCGGTTGCTCCCTGACCTCTCGGTTGCTCACTGACCTATGATCCTGATTATCGCATTAAATGTCGCTGTATGTTCGATAACGTGTATCGCAACAAATCGGTAACGTAAGTAACACGGTAACGTAGCGTAACATTTGGGGACATGTCCATGAAAAAAATATTAATAGTGAGCCACCAGAATTAAAACAATGTAGGTAAGTAGGTATCTCGGCAAGCTCTTTCCACACAAAAGGCAAGGGATGGCCATTTCATTTACAACCTGTAGTAAGCACGGTAACGTAACGTAACATTAAAAAGTGGCCGTTGGCCATACCCTCACGAGATGCGGTAATATTTGTTGTGTGAAGGGACTGTCTACCCTTTCACATCTTTAATGCTGTACAATACATGTGAGGCTACAAAATAAGATAATACGTTGGTGGAAACTGGTTTTATCTGTGACTCATGCCCGTGTTTGTGTCGGTAACGTAAGTAACCTAAAAAATTGCGACAGTTTTCAAGTGCGACCAGATGTGATATAAGCAGAAGATGGACAAGCTCCTCCCCCTGCTTTATAATGGTCTCATTAATGGGTATAATTAACCATCGGAAGTCAAGTCAGGGAACACATTTTTAAGAAATAAATGCAATGGTTATGTACATTTTAAGATTTGCGACAGGTGGTTTTTTACTGTCTCAATACAAAACGCTGCCATTTAAGATCAGAAAATGGTCAGTTGACGCGGTGAAAACATAACACACAATATTTCTAAGGTTCATAGATTAGGAATAACTATCAAATACGAAGTTATCTTGTAATTTAGCTTTCCGGCAGCCCGATACTTTCTTGCGACAGCAATTGCACACGTTAACTAAGAATGGGTGAGGTGAAAAAATAGGTGGCCACACTGTGAAATATATATATACCTAATAGAATGTTAATATTCACTTAAATTCTTTTGGAAATAATAAGCAGCACTCGAGAGTAGTACTGGTACTGCCGCTACTGCGTAGCGATTAGTTAACAAAGATGCGGGTATGACTTTCCCGTTTGTTTTAATTAAGTACATATTGTACTTTACTTTTTAAGTCAAAGAAACAAATAGTTACGTTCTCAAAGGTATTCACAGAGATGTCAGGCTGTAAAATCTTTCAGTGTACTTTTTTTAATCTAATACGTTGTAAAGGCTTCCGAAGAACTTCATCTGACCTGGGTCACACATGGGTTCAAGGCTCCAGTTCCCGTTCCCAAGGCATCGTATTCTGGCGTGCCTCCTCTCGTACCCAGGATCACAGTGCACAGTAAACTCGTCCCAGAACTGCGTGTTGCCGCCATGTAGCGATCCGTTGCCTGGTTCCTGTCAGTCAAGAAGAAACAGATCGCATACTACACTAAAACACTGTACAATAAAGTGTTGAATGTGACGCTCTTCAGGTTTATCGCAATAGAGACCCAAACAACTTCATAGACTATTTGAAGGAACGCCTGTCATAGATCGCCGTACAATTTTGATCCCGTAAAATTTTCCAGCAGCTGCCAAAAAAATGCGTCACCGCGAAGTCTTTACCTTGGGTTCTCCACAGTCCAGCTTCTTGCACTCTGGATTCTTGGACGCGCCGAAGGCATCTATAGACATATTATCAATGTATTAGCATAATTAGAGTGTCCGCAAAGTTATTCCTAAAAAATTTGTCTCTTAGAATTATTAGATATTAGCAATAGCTCAACTTCCATTTATGTTCAAGTTGACATACATTGTACCTGCTACAACTGCCATGCAATAGAGTTCTTCTTCAATATACAAGAGAGTCTGAAATGAATCAAACCGACCTAGCTCCGCCAGTGCTGCTGTGAAGTTCAGACGTGAAACCTCTGCTATAAGCCCCGGGCTGGTGTGTGAGAGCGCCTGTCTCAGCACGTAAGGGTCCCCGATGATACCCTCGGTGTGGAATTCGAAGAGAGCCAGATTTTCTTCCAAGCTGCCCAGAGAGATCTCGTCGGCCAGGTCCAGTCGCGACATGACGCCGGCGGTCTCCCTGGTGTAGATGGTCCCGTTCACGCCGAGCTGGGTCAGATTCGCAGTCAGACTCTCACTCCTGTGGGGAAGATAGGGACGGGATACTTTGCTTGGTTTTAGGACTTTTGCGGGAAAATCACAAGAAAGAGAGAGAGAGAGAGAGAGCAGGCGCAATAAAAATATAAAGGGAACAAACAGCCTATGTTTGAGCCACTGAATCCACAAAGTCAACATGCCAGATAAGTTAACATTCCAAACGAGTTTTCAACTTTAAATGCATGTATGATGTATGATTTTGTCCCTTTTGGAATGACAGCTACCAAATATCTCGTTATGTGTAGCCTTAATATTGTACGAAAGGGTTATCTAGTGTAATGACTTCTATTTTGATTTATCTACCCTTAACTAAAGGGGCAAAAACTTCGTTTCTAATTCTCCAACATGGCGGACAGTAGATAATGCACGGTCACGTGAGTGCAAACACCATATTTGGGCATACCTCGTCACGACGCCCGCCGCCTGCCCCAAGCCGACCAGGGAGCTGACGACTTCCGGCGCGACGGGGGACCATGTAGAGTTGTCACCAGAGTTGTCACAGAACAGCAGCCCGGCGTCCTCACCATGGTAACCGACGTCACAGCGTAGAACACAGAACGTCACGATGTACAGCTGGCCGAACCTAGGGCCGTAGGTGACGTCACTACAGGTATAGGAACCGTGATCGGCTAGAGGGAGGCTCACATTGAAGCAGTCTGTGGGAAAATACGCGCAAAGATAGATTTAAACCATCTGAATCTACCTGCATTACTAGGACAAGGATTAAAGTGAAAACTTTTGTTGTAACCAAGGAGCTTTCATCACAAGAAGCTCATTTTTCTAACATTGTTCTCATCTAGAGCGTTTGACCAGTCACTCTGATCGTCTTCAATAGACGGACCCAGTGACCAAGTATGCTGAAGAAGACCAGAGTGACAGGTCGAAAGCTCTAAGTGAGAACATTCTCTTGTGTTGGAACAAAAGTTTTAACGTTAAATATGGAGCTACCAATACGAGCGTACAGATGAACTTAAATGAAACATAGATCGTATATGTCGCAGATCTTGTGGTCTGTGCTTTGCCTCCTTTTTAGGCGTTCAGGGATCGTTTTTTTTTTTTTGGATGAAACGGAGATCGCACGCAATAAAAGCTCCAGCCGCCAACCCTACATAGCCATCCCTGGAACTATGTAGGGTTGGCGGTCGAAGCTTCTATTGCGGGCGATCTGTGTTTGATCAGAAAATACCCCCCCCACACACACACACACACACACATACACACACACACAAAGACACACACATAAAAAAACGACCGATCCCGGAACGTCTGAAAAGGAGGCTAGTCTGTGCGTACCGGATATGACAGGCGGAATGTCCGGCGGCGTCCTTGCAGCTACAATGGCGCGGAGGTCATCACGGATCAACGGGTCCTCCTTCCCTGGGAACGAGAACAGGGCCAGCCAATCAGGGAGCTCCTCCGCTTTGGATGAATAGGAAAAGTACAATGTAAGTCAAACAAAAAGTTTAACCATTTCACCGATGCAAAGACAGATCCACACACATATACTAAGATACTTCAAAATTTCTTTCGGGGAAATGGCTCTGCCATTATTTACGTAATATGCAAATCTGTAAATATATAAGAACTTTACTGCACGACAATTGCACATGTTACAATGTATGGTAAAATATATGTCTTTGGGTCGATGAAGTTTAGACATATAAGCAATGAGACACGCAAAAACTGTTACATTGTATTACTCTAGAAACTGGATAAAGTAGCGTCCACTAGTTAACTTTTAGTCAATGACTGATCGCTATGATGTACTAGTATAATATGTGATCTTTCGCGACTCAATCTTTGACGGGGGCTGACATCGTCTACCACCTTTGACCTAGTGTTGATGCCACACTTCAAAGAAGCCACGTGACAAGCGTCACTGGGTCAGTCTACTAAAAAAGACTAGACTGACTGTTCGAAAGCTTTACGTGAGAGAACTTTGGTTTGTGTTGGATCTTAAGTTTTAACTTCAAACATGTAACTACCATCACAGATGATAAGATGAACGTTCATGATCGATATGATCTGTCGGCATGGTGGCCTTGAAAAGGTGGTCTGCCGCCGCGCCGCGTGCCTGCGAAGCTGGAGTGTTACGCCGAAGGGCGGTTATACCGGCTATATACAGATGTACTTAGGTCCACCTGTTCCACCATGCCTGCCATGTACATATGTATGTGGTGAATTGTAATAAATAAATAGATCTTACGTTGCAGGAAGTGTCCCATGACGATCGCCACCACCACGGCCAGTGCCAACACGCTCAGCGAGGAGAAAATTAGTAAAAGCCTCTTCAGGCGTCTCAGATCATCCTCGTCCTTCTTCTTCTTCTCCTTACGTCTTAGGATCTCGGGGATGCCCGGTGGGCCATAGTGTCTCCAAGGACCTGGGGTTACGGTGTAGATAAGGACACTTTAGGTTATAAGGAGTAACTAAGGGGTGTCTTGTATAGCGTCTACCAGGCTTCGGAAGCGGCCGAAAAGTGTAGAAATTGGCCAAAAGTAACTCTGAATTTGCATGTTAGTCACAGTCATGAGATATTCTAAGTGACTTAAGCAAAATGATCATCGGCAAACGAAGATACAGTGTGTAACACACCTACCTTTATAATCGCGTTTGTCTCGAATACCAGCCTTGATTTCAGCTGTAGCAGTGAAGACGTCTGTTTCTGGCTTTTCCCGGTGTGGCTGGAAAAACGATGTGCAACAATGGTACGGTATTATAAGGAAATATGTTATAATGTTACAATTCTGTGACAATATTAGCCTTTTCGTAAAATTGTACTTTCCAAAAGTTAATTTGAAAGATCACAACTGGAAGAACAGCCAAGTGAACGAGACGTTGGTAATTTCTTTCAGTTACCTTTTCAAGTTTCTCTTCCGATCTATGGTCTCTGGTTTCGACACAAGGGGGGAATACATCGGCAGCTGGTTTTTCCTGCTGTGTCTTGAAAAACGACGTATCTTCACTTTCTTTTCCTTCACTGGTTTCAGACGCACAGTAGTCGCTGATGCTGGTATCTTGCCTGTAGGTAGAATTTGAGAATGAAGCTATCAATGTAAATCAACCCTTATCCTGTCCATGTAAAATATATGAAAGAGCGCATCTTGCTAAAGCCGATAGCCGAAGCTGTACATCTTATGGAATGTAGTGCTTACGTTGTGAACGAGATCTGATCGTCATCACAACAGGAAGTCCTCTCGGACTCAGGTACTTCCGGTGTTCCCGGAAGACTTCCGAAGCCGCTTTCGCCATCCGCGTCGTCTTCGAACGGGAGGTAAAAACTTCTTTCCTAAAGTAGGAAGATTTAAAAAGAAGTTCAGCAAAAAGTTTTTCTAAGTCCCTCATTTAGTTTATAAGTCAATATTTAAGTTTTGAAAAACGGCATACGATGCTTCTCAAGAAATAGAAAGTAGGAAGATTTAAAATGAAGTTCAGCAAAAGTGTTTCTAAGTCCATATTTAAGTTTCTAAGTCAATATCAACGTTTTGAAAAAAGGTCATACGATGCTTATCAAGAAATAGAAAGTAGGAAGATTTAAAAGGAAGTTCAGCAAATGCGTTTCCAAGTCCGTATCTAAGTTTCTGAGTCAATATTTAAGTTTTGAAAAACACCATACGATGCTTATCAAGAAATAGAAAGTAGGAAGATTTAAAATAAAGTTCAGCAAAAGTGTTTCTAAGTCCGTATTAAGTTTCTAAGTCAATATTAATTAAAGTTTGAAAAGCGCCATACGATGCTAATCAAGAAGTAGAAAGTAGGAATATTTAAAAGAAAGTCCAGCAAATGCGTTTCTAAGTCCAAATTTTAGTTTATAAGTCAATATTTAAGTTTTGAAAAATGCCACACGATGCTTATCAAGAAATACAACCACTGTCAGAAGAGCCACCTACCGATTCCAGGTCAAACTCCACCCCACTAACGGACGACGAAGAGTTCTCGAACGGAGAAACCTTCAAGTCAAATACGTACAACATTTAGAACATGGTAATTTGAGAGGGCAGGCTCCGCCCCTCGGATAAGCGCCCTCTGGTAGGACATACAACAACTGCAACGCAGAAACACACAAGCACAAACCCACTCAAACACCCACTCAAAACACACACACACACAGACACACACTGACATACACAAATACACACACAAACACACACACACACTCAAACACACACACACACACTCAAACCGTGACACACACACAAACACACACACTCAAACACACACACACACACAAGCACACACACACACACACTCATGATCAAGCACACACACACACACACACACACACACACACACACACACACGTACACACACATACATACATACACAGAGAGAGACAAAGGGAAGGAGAGATAGGGATCCAAACCAAAACATCACGGAATTGGGTTAAAATAAGAGCAGTGACAACAGCATAAAGTAAAAGTAGGACAATAATTATTGCAATGATTGGAGATATGCAGAAATCTGGTAGCCAGCCTACTTAAAAAGCATTAACAATCTTGGATGAGCAGCATGTGTGATTTATTGATGGATGAATGAATGGGTTTATAAATGGATGATTCGGGAATTCGGGAAGTGGATGGAATTAAGACATCGATTAATCAATGGATGGATGGATAGGTCAATCAATTAGTCAATCAATGAATCAGTTATCAGACCTCAATTTTTAGACTGTTAGTTTCTTTTTAGTAACTTACGCCTCTGAGACTGGAGTATGACGAGGATAGCGCCGCCGTGCGAGGTTCGCCAGTACTGCACCGTTATTTTACCGAAATAAGAGCAGCGGCTGAATGTACAGAAATCTTATAAATGTATAGCGGTTAGCATTTCCGGGCACTTTCCATGTTGCTTATCGTTATCTAACCTTCCTGTACGATGTAGTATCTTTGTTTCTTCACATGTGTGTGTGTGTGTGTGTGTGTGTGCTTTGTGTTACTTATCGTTATTTTAGGCCTCCTTGTATGCAGAGGTGTCTTTGTTTCATTTTTTTTGTGCGTATGTGTGTGTTTGTGTGTGTGTGTGTGTTTGTGTGTGCGTTTGTGTGTGTGTGTGTGTGTGTGTGTGTGTGTGTGTGCATGAGTGTGTGTGTAAATAATAATGACTTAAGTGCAAAGTAGTAAAAGACAACAGTTCGTGATGATAATAGTCAGACGTGATAGGCATTTTAATACTCAATGAACAAAGACATTTGAACCTTTAAGTCCCCCCGGTTTATAGCTTAGAAATTTGGATTTAGAGCACATTCAAGTGTGAAAGATATCCATGACGACAATAGTTCATGCGGTACTGCTTTTGTTGTGCACAGAAGAATAGACCGTATATCCCATAGCATCGCAGGTATTATTTCCCAGAAGTGAACAATAGCTGCATACCTTGGTTTGTGTGGGGGCCTCGCTAGGACGGACCTGTTAGGGAAGTTAAGACAAAGTCATTTATGGGCATAACTTACGTTTATAAATAAACATGTCGTGATCTCTTATCCTGTCGAGCCCAATAATTGTTGTTCTGCACATACAGTACCATCTATATCTATATACCATTTATTATTTAAAAAATATTGTGTAGGTGAAGGAATGCCAGCAGGACCAGGGTTAAGACTTGTCTGACTAAATATCACGCTCCTAGCGGCCGTTCAATAAATAACCCAGCCAGTTAAACATTGTGTAAACACAGACTTTGTTGTGATGTGTAAGTTCTATATATGGCAAGAGGTACGATACAACATTTACATTAAGGTGTGCATGTTTATTTTTCTTATTTCTATATCCAAATAAGTCGACATTTTGAGGGTGAATTTCGCAAGTCGCGTCGGGTTACAGTGTTGAATACAACTTCCCTGTCGTCTTTCAAAGCAAATGCCTGTCCAATTCTGCTGCTAAGTCAATTTGATTAAAACCCATTGAAGTCCGATATATAATACTCCAGTACGAAGTTTCCTTGTCGCCTTCTTAAAAACATGTCGATAATGTTTCAGACACATCCTGCTGCTGTCAAAGGCTCTGTTTTATTAGTAGTTCCGCGTCAATTATGACCACTCTACTGTGGGGTAATATATAACCACAAGTACACAGCGCCTGTCGTGCGGCCGACTTGCGGTAACATATGTTTACAAACTTCGTTCAAACTTGACTTTCTTTTCAACGGAGGGCGGCATAGAAACGTTCAGAACAATTTGATCGACTTTATGACTCAAAATTAAAGATTAACTCCCTAATTTACACTGCAATTTGGTAATGTATTGTAAAGGAAGTAATCAATTACAAACACTGTTCCATATCGCTGTTGAATAACAGGTCGATATCTGAACGACACAAAGGTGCAAATATGCCAGATAACCCACGAATCTATGGCTGGGAACCACGCCAATTTATGGTTTTCAGCTAAACATCGTCCAAGACAGGTGAATGTTTCTCATGATCAGTCCTTATGTACCCCGTACACTTTCACACAATTACAAGAATAAACTTACTGAAATACAGTTTACATACTCTCCAAGCAGAGGTTTGGGTTTTGGGGGTATTTTTAGCGTGTTTTTAGGCTTTTTTAACGGGGTTTCTCTTTTGCACTGGATTTTTGTGGGGGTTTGGTGGAATAAAAAATTCTGTGCAAAAGAGAAACCCCGATAAAAAAGCCTAAAAACACGCTAAAAATACCCCCAAAACCCAAACCTCTGCTTTGAGAGTACCGTTTACACTGAAACGTGTAGTTGAAACATGAAGTTACAAAACTTACTTTTCTTTTGGTCCTCTTGCCTTTGGGTCGGCCCCGGGTGTAGAGGTGATCGCAGTACGTCGGCCAGGCCGACTTGGTCGGACCGACCAACTCCGGAGAAACCCTCGGGCGAAAGTCCACCCCGTACCGCCGCTCCATGGCTGCGTGCCCCGGTGTTTGGCTTACCGTCTCGGACAAACAGTCCTACCTTCCGCGTACGTGTTCGTGTATTAATTGGCTGTGAAGGCCCTACCTTACTTACGTTTGTACACGCGTATTGACAGTAAACAGCCCTATTGACTGCGGAATGCAGGCGCTAGCCGGTTCTAATGAAAAGTACGCACAGCTCGCAGTAGTCGTGACTAGACAGTCAGACGCTGAACCGCTACAAGTGTTTCCCGCCCCGGGCAGGTACCGACCACCTGTTCACCTGAGCGGAAAACTTCAGGAGGGCGACTTCGTTGCCTGTGATTCTCAAGAAGGTTCCCCCTTAGTGTTCTGTATTACGCCACGGGTAAAGCTCAAAGGGGGGAGCTATTATTAGGGCGGTGTCGGCAAGGGGGATCCCCTAGGCCAGTCCCATAGCCAACAAGGGTGTGCAGGGGAAAAGTCCAAAACCCCTAAAAAAGGGGAATTTTTTGTTTAATGAGTTTTGCTTTCTTTCTACAATCTTGAGCTTCACTCAAGAAGGCCTGAATGTCAAAACCAACCGCTGTATTTACGTTTAAGTTGCTCTCTAAGATACGTAGCAGTTAAGGCGACACGAAGAGTAATGACATATTTTTACTCTTTTGTTAATGTGTAACCTTACCCCAGTGCCACGCTTAATTAGATCACAGGTAGTCCGACCATGTTGCGGTTCGGATTACGTTCTTTGTTAGAAGTGCAATAGCAAAAATTCAGAGAAGGGAACCATGCTCATATATCTAGCCTTGTCAATTTGGACACCATGCACACCAAATAAAAGTCCAACTATGTCAAAGCATATGTACAGTCTGTCTTCAAGAGGTGGTATAGACACGGTACTTAAACTTAAGCCGCTCACGTACACCGTACCATGTACCAGGCACGGACAGAGCTTTTTTTAGCGTCGGTTGTGCCATACGTCGTGGATTTGAGCCGACACGAGTGCTAAAGTTTATTTTCTAAATATTGCACCAGTTTCTGTACAAATCTTCGACATACGCTACGAAAAACCGTCCATCGCTGGTACATTTTACATGTGTTCGAGTATGTGATAGGGGCTTAACCCAGCTTGTACACTCAAAATTCGGTTCTATCAAAATCCCTAGCCAACCTTTTTTCCTTAACCTTTATCTATACCACGTGCACTAAACAACATTTCTCTCTAACGCTACATTTTCTACAGTGTAACGCTAATATAGGATGTAACTGTAGTCGACCGTGGATGAGTGTTTACTACAATGTGACCCCGGCGTAACACCGATACAAAGGCATGCTGGCGACGTCACTAGCAAATAATAGCCGTGTCATGCCCGGACTCTGGGCGTCGTGTTTGTTTAAGCACGCGGTAATGTTTGTGTAACACTTTCGTCACAAGGAAACGGCAGACAAAGCCTTTATGAAGACTTGGGCTGGGGATTGCCCGAGCTTGCTCCCTGGTGGCGTCAACACGAACACGCTCGTCTCGTACGAGCAGACATTGTTTTTCTATTCCAACATTTATTACAAGATATGGCGGTGGCACATGTAAGTTTTTCAACTTATATTTATGCCGCCACCAACGCAGAAAAACGAACGAACGTACAACAGACATAATCATGTTCAACTGAATAAAGCGAGGAGGATATTCGTGTTAAGTGTTTTTCCCAAGGGCACAAGATCGGTAGCATGGCAGGCGAACTCGGGACCTCTTGGTTCCGAGCCGAACGCTCTGTCGTTACGCCACATGACCCTGAGCAGACTTTGGCTTTGCTCCTTTAAAAAAAATTAGTAGTGCGTAAAATTTTGCTTGCCTCACTTCAAGGGGACACACCCTAGTTCAGTTTGGGGTTTAGTTAGAGGTTAATTAGGGGCTGCACACCCTCAAGTAAAGCAACCGTCTCTTCCAGTGGGCAAAAAAAATCTTAGAAGACAAGAATTGAGAAAAACTGGATTTTGTTCCTTCCACCTCTTGACGGAGGTACGGTGGAGTAACAAAATATTTGCAAAGAAAATGCACAATGTTCACAAACAACTGCTCTGTTTATTCTCACTAAAACGCATTTATATACAATATAAGGGCCCAGTGACTAGGCCCAACAACTCTTGTCATGTCCTGCAACACTTGCAACACCATGTAACCCGACGTTTTTAAGTTCTGATTTTTAATACAAAACAACAGATCAACACCTGCATTATGCTCACATGGCCTGAATATACACGCATTGAGACAAACCTACGCCTTCCTCGGGATCATAAAAGATAAACATAGTAATGCCCTGTAAGGGCCAGGTCATAATATATACCATTGTCCTGCTGGCATTTTTTACACAATATTTTCAAAATAATTTGATGTCTTGATCAGGTCACAGACCCTTGACTTTTTTTGCCCTGCGGTGGCGTGGTTACTTCCGCATTCGTTGCGTTTTGCTGCGGTGTGATGCGTTGCACGAGAATTATCCCCAAATCGTAAATAAATGACCTACAAGGTACTAATTAAAATTAAAAGTACTCTCCAATCAGAGGTTTGGGTTTTGGGTTGTTTTCGGTGGTTTTAAACTTTTTTAATCGGCGTTTCTTTTTTTCCACTGGATTTTTTTCCCAACCCAGTCAAAAAAAAACAATAAAAAAAAACTAAAAACACTCCAAAATAACCAAAACCCAAATCTTTGCTTGAGTCTGCCCCGTAAAGGACTAAAACACTCAGGAATAGTGACGTCAGCTACTGTTCAAAAGTAGCAAGAAGATTCTAATCACGTTTGCAACATAGCTGTCTAGTAAGTGATAAACACACTTAAAAGCTGTGCGTCGTGATATATTACATGTCAGTTCCACCTGACAAAACAACTCGATCAGAACAAAACAACCTGTCTCTCTAGATCTAAGGTTCTTGAAGTTCTTCTGTTAGCGCATTTCAAACAAAACGTCGATCAATCTCCAAGCAGATGTGGAAAGGCAAAATCACAACATTTCTTTATGTTCCCGGTTACGCAGTTAATGTACTTCTTAACGGACCAACTCACCTGTCTATTTGGCTAATTTCTACTCTTTCTAGTCGCTTCTGAAGCTTGGTAGATGCTATTATGCGGTAGCCGGACAGTTAGAATAGGTTTGGGTTTGGAGTTATTTTTGGCGTGTTTTAGACTTTTTATCGGGGGTTCTTGTTTGCACTGTAATTTTTCTTTCACCCAACTCTCTGAAAGAAAAGTTCCAGTGCAAGAAAGAAACCACGATGAAGAAAATTTAATAACACGCCAAAAATAACCCAAACCTCTGCTTGGAGAGTAAGAAAAGGTTATAATCATCTCATACGCAACATCTGCTTGAAAAACGTATCTTAGTGTCTGTGAGATAACCTGAGAACGGGTCCTTCACACTCGATCCTGGGCAGGTGGACGTCGACGTACGCCTTCCTGCAGGGCAGTCCGTTCCCACTCGGCACCAGCATGTCCCTCAGGACAACATGCCCGCCCTTCCGCCGCCACTTGTAGGTCGCCAGCAACCGCGGCTCGATCCCAGCCCCGGAAACTGCTTTCCTCCTCTCTAACAATACATCCTCCTCGCAATGTGGAGTCTCGTATTTACGGTACAGCGTCTTCTTCTTGGACACAAAGTTGTCGACTGTGGCGACAGGCCACGGCGAGTGCCTGCCGACGGCGCTCGAAGCGCTCGCTGCCCGCGGCACCGCCGTCTTGTCTTCCAGGCGTCCGTCTGTCCGACGCCTGCGTCCGTGCCGGCTCCCCGCCTGTGTGTTCTGTTCTCTCCCGACGGCGATAGCGCGCTCTCCCTTCGTCAAGGCTGCCAGGAAACGCTTGTGTCTCTCCAGTTTTTCCGACAAGTCCCTCCCCTTGATGAAGGTGAAAACGTCGTCTGATCTCCTTGACAACGGGCGGTGCTGATGATCTTCGTCTCCCGCCAGACTCAGCTGGGACCAGTCGCAGAAGCAGACCAGATTCGGTTGCGACATTTCTCCGCACTCTCCTGGTCAAATATTATAAAATCGTCCCTTTTCACGTCTTCTTCAAAGAAACAGAGAGACCCCGTCGAAAATTCGCAAACATCCGATGTGACATGGTTTAAATTTTACTCACAGATATCCGAAGATATTGCATAAGGCTTGTTCACCGGAAGAGAACGGACAAAACAAGACACAGCCTTCCTCACAGCAGCGTCTAGCGCCTGTCTTTTCTTGATCTCAGTCTTCAATGACGCGCTCGAGTAGTCACGATGTTTGTAGATCGTCGTACAGCCTCGTCAGCAGACATCTGAGAGTCTTTTGAACGTAACCTTTTTTTCATTCCTCACGTACTGTTTTCTGATTCCTGCCATCTCATGATTGATACTGTTTATCTATCTACAAGTACAACGTTTACCGGTATGGCAACGAGCAGTCAAAACAATGTGTAGTAGTCAAAAGAAAGCCTGTGTGGAATGACTGACTGCTGTGTAGGCTACGCACTGGGAGAGTCACGAACTGACGCTGTTTGTGAGGCCGTCTCCACGTCTCTTACATTGTTGTGACGAACAAAGGTAGGCCGGCACCAAACATTCTCCCGGACAATGCCGCCGATTATTCGGGCCATTTCGCAGAATGGAGGGTTCCGCTGACAGCACAACGCTTGACTAGCCTCTACCAGGCTTCAGATAATCTCCAAGCAGATGCTAGGGTTGGCAAAATAGAGAATCAAATTGGTCAGGCAGTATCCAATTGGCCAGAGAGGGACCATTCCCGATCCGAGGTGGGCGTAGCGACAAAAAAGGGGCCATGTATAAAAAGCTAACGATCACTCCCCCCACGACCTCTGTTTGGAGAATAGCTTCAGAAACGGCTGGAAAATAGTAGAACTTTGCCAAATAGACAGATAACATGCCAGGGGAGTTAGTCTGCTGAAAAGTACGACTGCGGAAAATGCGCTCTCTGGTAGACCAACCCCCCTCGTATGCTTTCTGTCAATTGGCCAATTTCTACTTTTTTCCAGCCGCTTCTGGAGCCTGGTATACTCTCCAGCAGAGGTTCATGGGGGAAGATCTAGCGAGCGGGCAGACTGTTCTCTCCAACAGACCAACTCCCCCGGCATGCTATCCCTCTATTTGGCCGATTTATACTCTCCAGTCGCCTCCCGAAGCCTGGTAGAGGCTAGGGGAAGATCGTTACATTTTCATATATGCCCCGTATTTTTTTGTCACTACCCGTGGGAAGCCTGGTAGAGGCTAGCGCTTGACGGACACCCGCGGGTCGTTTGGCGGGATTCCTCCGTCCGGTGGCGGGAAACCGTTGCCTAGGAGACGGGCGGAAGAACAGGGGGCATGTGCCGGAGAACAGCGGCCGGGAGCCGGTCGTGCCAGCCGATGCCAGGCTTGAGTGCATTGTCAGCAGTGATTGTGTGGAATTAGGGACAAGCTTCGGCCTGGATTCTCCCTGTCAGTCTTTTAAGTGTTAGGAAACAGCTTTACACAGATGGTATCTGTTCTTTAGTCTCCTCCAGACGAATTTAACAACAGGGGCTCGAAAAAATAAAATGTAGCCAAATAGAGATACTTTATAGTTTATTTGCCCTCGCAGTTCGCGATCTAATGCCCTGACCAATTACTGACCATATTGTTGAATTCTACTATCGATAACCCACATACGGCTTTCTTTCCCGTGTGCGCACTTTCTTTCTCAAAATGGCTCGTCGTTTAAAAGGTGGATTAAAATGTTATCAGGAAATGTATGAGGTCGGAAATCCGAACCTTCCTTGATTCTTTGTGAGACACGAAAGAGGCGCTTAAGTTCATTTCGTACTTTCATTCATGTTGTAATAGAGTATTATGCTAGGTAAGAAAGCAATTGATACTAAATGATCTTCTCCGTGGATTCACGTTTTGTCATTTTAAGGTGATGTACTTTTTGTATGCCTCTTTTGAAACTGCTGTGTCGTCCGTCAGGTCACTAACACCTTACAGGCTGTTTAGATGAGCGATTAATCTCCAAGCAGATCCTACGGTGGCAAGACTGTATCCATTGGTCAGAGGAGTGACCATTGGCATTTAGACACTCCTCTGGCCAGTGGATACAGTCTTGTCAGCGTAGGATCTGCTTGCAGATTAGATTAGACGATGTTTAAAGTTACTCCTACACGCCAAATCACACAAAGTCATCAAGTTGATGCATGACACACATTCTTAGCCATTCATACGATGCTGCTTTAAAACGGCTCGCGTTTTCAGCTATTAAGCCATACTGACAACTGATGTAAAAATTGAAACAGACAGAGTCGAGCTATCATATTCATGCCCTCCACATTGTCGCCTAACAGACCCGCATGTATTATTCATGATGACTATTGAGAGCGCGTTCAAATAAGCACGTGTGTCCAGACGCTAAACGGTGGATATCGTGATGCGATTATCTGTCAAAACGTATCTCGGCAAGTCGTTTGCTATTCTGTTTGAAGGTGCGCCGTTTCTATTGCCAGCTGGTGTAGGTAGTGGTTGATATTCCCAATTCTGGACCACAAGGTTGCGGGTTTGAATCCCTTCCGTTAATGTCGTGTCTCTGGGAGAGTCACACCTTCTGTTAAGTACGGTTTTCATTGTAGGTATAGTTTTGCCATAAGGATCATGGATTTGTTTAGGTTATCTCTGGTTGTATCGTGGGTAGATGTACGCTAATGTAGCCCTTCCTGCACGTTCTGCCGCACAGTGTTGGCTCCAGAACACTCTTCACCTCCACAAATCCGCCTCCTGAACACGGAAGAGACAAGACAAAATATCTATCCTGTAAAGACCTCATACTCTGTTAAAAATTTAACACACCTTCAAAATCAAATAGGCTACAAATCGATGCAAATATGCAATGGCGGTAAGGTCATTTTAACTGTGACTGGAGAATGTGGAAATTGTGCGATTTGATTTTGAAAAGAAATAATTATTATATTTCGAAATTAAAAAAGAACGTTATATACATCATGAATTTAAAACAAAATAACACTTCTTGTGCAAATGTTGTTTGCCACTTGTAAAAGCATCTATGTCTGGAGTACTCTTTATCTGAGGTATTAGTGAAAGGCATTTTCAACAAACAAACAAACAAACAAACAAACAAACAAACAAACCTTGGATCTTCTTGTACTTCTCCAGTAACGTTGGTTTCCCCAGTCTTTGTGACATTTGCACCCCTCTACACGTCATTTCCGTCTCTACGTAACATTTACCATCCTGTCTCTGGTGCGTCATTTCCGGTCTACACGACGTCACTTCCGGTTTTGACTCCGGAATTGCAACATTTCTACAAGACCTCCAAATGTGAAAAGGTTTGAGGTTCTTCCTCTGTCTCATTTCCAGTCTAGGAATCAGTGCTTTGCCTCTGTAGGTTGTCTTGTCGACAATAGAGGGACAAGACATGCTTCTTTTCTTCCTTCCATCCAGCATCTTCTCCTCTATGTGCATCGCTCTTTTCTTCCATCCATCATTCGTGCTGGCCTCACAGTCACAAACAAGTCCTGCTTTAACTCTTTCACAACACCCGATTTCCGACATGCCCTCATTGGCAGTGAGAAACTTCATTCCTTTGGTTGTTGGAATTTTGTCTGTACCGTCAAACTTAGAGCTTCGCGTCTCGAAACAGGGAGTATCTTGAAGTCCCTGGTCACTTCCTAGAAACTCGTTAACTCCAGACGCCGAGCCCCTTTTCTGAAAGTCGTCTTGAGTCTGTTGCATGTCACTTTTTAAAAGCGGCTTGGAAGCTGAGCTCTCTCTATGCGAACAAGATAACGACGCTAAACGCGAGTCAGTCCTCTGGTAGACGCTAAGATTGCTACAAGCACTTGAAGGCCGACTGAGTTTTCTTGCACTGCAGCCCATACTCACGCGTGGCACGAATACACCAGGTGCTGTGATCGTTTGGTACTTTATGGATGAAGAATTCACGACTTTACTTTTGGTTGAATCAAACGGGAGGGGAACTTTCGTACCATCCTTCTCCGTCATATCGTTATAATACAAGTCGTAAAAATGTTCAGCATTTAACGGAAACATTTATAAGCTTTGAATTTGCACCCTGATAAAAAGGTAGTAACGTCACTTGCAATATCCACAAGGTACCAGTCCCGATCTTGCTGTCAGTGTCCTAGGAGGGGTTTCAGTCCTTTCGACTTGGCGTAATCCGGAGGTCCTGTATTTTAGGAGAGCCACACCTCACGCGCGTTTAAGAAGGTTGCCTCATGGCGTCTTGAGTCGCTGCTGCTCAAACCCGTCACTTCCAAACTCAAAGACAGGCTCTTGATAATAGCCTTTGGCTGGTGGGGTATCCTTGACTTTCTGTCAGTTTAATCCAGCAAATGACTTTAGAAGGATTCATAGGTGTGCCGATGCCGCATGAAAGATAGTCCCTCTTTGCGATCTTCATACAAAATATGTCATCTTCTGCTATAGATGAGCTAGGGTACGTAAAGTGGTTGACCTCAAACTGAGGACGACGCGTGATGCTTTCTCAGCATCACGTTTATCAACATCAGTGCGCCCGGAAAAACGGACAAATCAATCAATCATCCGTCAGCATCATGCGCTGATGCATGGTAGGTGTAGACATCTATCTCCGGAATGTTCTATTACCTCTATGACCTCCGGTTGGCCCTGGTATAACGCCTAACATTCTAAGTGCGTTGAAGACTTCAGCGTTTGTATCTGTATGTGCCAAGCTAGTATAAACGCCCTTCGATATAACACACGCACCAGCTTTGCAGGTACGCGGCGCGGCGGCAGCTGGCATTACTACACCGAACGACTTGTTAGCTCGTCCCACCTACCTCTTGTGTGCTTTCATCCGTGAAATGCCCGGGGTGTTAAACCGGCTGATCCGGATCGCGTTGCTAGCCTGAATGTCAAACAAAGGCGAAGGCTTGCCGGTGTCGCTACCGTGTCAGACGGGAAAAGGCGAGGCCGTCTTCTCTATTGTCTCCCACTCAGAATCAACTGCTTCTCCGCATTAATAATGCACAACGCTGTCAGTTCTATTTCTGTGCCGATACTGAAGAACTTTATTGCACGACAATTGCACATGATACAATGTATGGCAAACTACATAAAGAAGGTAACAAACAATAAAATAAATGTGTTGAATAAGATCTAATGTCGAATAAAACTTAACACATCTTAATTACTCAAACGATAAGGGATAGCACAAGTCTTTGATAAAGTGTTACAATCGAGTGGGCTAATCACAAGTTTCGGTATTTTTATAATAGCAAAGCATTCCTTTATATATCTACCTATTTACCTGTGAGTATCGTTATGCGGTTCGACTTCATTCCTCAGCTTGTTGAAAACAAAAATAGTAGAGATTGTTGCTTTGATTGCGCATATTAATTATATATGTTAGTTTATGTATGAATATATTTTTGTTTAATTGTTTTTTTTTTGCTTTTTAATGGTGGAACTGATATAAGTTCGATCAAGGAGGTTATCTACCACTATAGATCTACCACTTGGTTCGATGTGAAATTAGTGCGTTGTCATCTTGTCTGTATTTCTTTATTTTTATTTTATAAAATTGTCAAAATAAGTGACTTGGCCAAATCTTTATAAATGTATAATTGTATGTCTCTATCCAACTCTTCAGGCAAATTATACGTCCCATCTCTGTTTTTTTTTCAGAATGTTCTTCTGAATTACGAATCTAGTCATAAATGTAGATGAGATATCTGTATCTGTATCGATATAGCCGGTATAACCGCCCTTCGGCGTAACACACCAACTTCACAGGCACGCGACGCGGCAGCAGCTAGCTATATCACACCGAACGGCTTGTTACACTCAATCTTTGCACCTTTGATTGAAGAAGTTGTTTAAAGCTTTCTAGTGATGATGCCCCAACTGTGCTTGGTGGCAACGAGTTCCAGTCTACGATAGTTCTGGGGAAATACGAGTTTTTGAATACCTCAGATATATAAGTGGTCCCACGTAGTGGTCCCCATTACGTGGGCGGCAACATGAGGTCAATGCCACGATGTCAGAACTTTGCGTGACTCCAGCCGTTTTATATCTACTTGTCACAGCTCTTAGAGCTAATTTGACAAAAATCTTGTGCGGAATTGATTTAATGCATTCTCCCACGGCAGATCTATCCTGCGGCAAGTACGCCTTGGGGTTACTTGTAAGGAAGCACCCCTGCCATGGGAGGATGATGTTAATTTTTCCAAAACATACCCACAACGTCAAGCTTCAATGTCAATACGTTGTGGGATTTATGTAACAAATCGTTACACTACCAATAGTGTTCTTTCTTGTTTGTCATTTTCTAACGGTTTGACGATAGGGCTACGGAAAGACTACCTGTACTTAATTAAGTAATTGACTTTAGGCAGTGTACATGTAAAACGAATTCGGATGCCAATATCCAACCATTCATTGCAAGTCTCTCTATCCTATAACTTTATAAGGAGTATCGTGTACATTGCAGGAACCTATAGCTAGGAAGGTTGCTTTTTGTACTTACTGTTCAGGGCGTAGAACTTCCCCTGTAGCAGGTCTTTCATGTACTGTTGGACTGTTGCACTGCTGGCTGACGTGACTAGTCGGCTGAGCTGGCACCACGATATCCGTCCAGTTCGTCTCTGTCCTTAAGACTTGGGAAGCCTGGTGCTGGATAAGACCTTCTGTCAAGACTAGGTGGGAAGCCTGCTGCTGTATGAGCCCGCGCGCCTGGAAACGGGCGGTGAGCAGTTCGACCTGGCCCGGCAGGTCCAACACGCGCGCGAGTTGACAGGTGGTCAGCACGAAGATAGCCGACCATAAACTGAGACAGAGAAACAGCTTCATGACTCTCGTTCTCACGGAGAAGGCAGGGAGAATCAAGAACACGCTCGCTCGATCCAAGATGTCACAGGGCACGAAGGTTACCGTCCATGACGTAACGCACCCTTTTAAGGGTTTCGTCACCCTCATGAGTGACCGCCAGGACGATGACCTTTCTCGCCTGTTCTGTACAGCTGAGCGCGTGCGTTTGTTAAACAGGGCCGGTCTGTTAACACGTACTGAAAGAGAGATAAAAGGCCTGCCGAGAGCCTTTGTTGGTCGATGAAATATTGCTGAGGACAGGGGTGAGGCGATCCCTGTATGTGTACGCATCAGATCCCTGTATGTGTGCGCATCATAACATGATGGTAAGGATGATATGCTAAACATGGCATTTGCAACAACAACAAAAAAAAACATGTAAAAAGTGTTGCGAGCTTAATGGGTCTGTGAGTGATGCGAGCGTCACTGTTTGTTACGCCTATGGATCTAAGGGACTTAGTTGAATTGTGTCTCTTTCTTCTCGCTTTTTTTCTCTTTTGATTATGGAATCATGCAATCAATGTAATCTTTAGTCCCAACGTAAGTACCAGACAATCATTGTGGGCGTAAAAGATATCAGAGAACATTTAAAACGCTACATTTCGAGTAAACAAGTTGGTGGCGAGAAGACCGCTGCCTGCGCTGCGATGGAGGAAAACGTCTACCAGGAGGCCTGTAACGTCTACAGCACCTGTAACGAGGATGCCAGCAATGACTACGAGGAACCCTGCGCGGTCTCTCCGTCAAAGGTTTCAGCTAGAAAGAGGGCCTCCGGCCTTAACCCCGCAGAGGGAGCCTCAGCCTCATCAAAAGTGCCAGGTAAGGTTCTGTTAAGATCAGGAATATCTCAGAAGCGCCAAACATTCTTACTACGACATACGTACTCAGACTTTGAGCAGGTTACAGAGAAAAATTTGTGATTATCAATTGTTATGTCAATCCTTCAACGAATGCAATATATCTTAATAAGCAAGGGTTCCAAAACGATACTGTAGAATTTTGTAAATTATGCAAATTAGGTCTTTATTTACAACGTCCTTCTTTGTTAAGATAAGACTGTCATTCGGTTGATATTATGATGAAGTAGAAGTAGTTTATACAAATGAGGATATTATTTTCATGATTGATGAGAAAAATTCATAATTTACTAGAAAGGCCAACATGCAGCTACCACATGCCCCGTACCAAAAATGGACCTATCCCACTTCACAGTGTGGTGAAGTCATAATAATATGTTTAACCACACCACGAAGCCATAATAAGTCATACATGTAAAAATCATTTAGCAAAGGTATAGTGTCTATAGTTTTATTTTGAAAGTTCATCTGTATTGTCATTTTGGTAGAAGTCATTATGAAAGAAGTTTGCACTATGATGGCCAATTTTATGGTAATATAAAGGCCACACCGACTTAATTTTATGGATAACATCCCCTGAAGACCCCCAAACTAGTGCGCGCGGGCGAATAAAAAAAATTCGACCAAAAATGACAATGCTACTAAACCATAGGAATAGAAAGCCGGTATTGTGAAATCGCGGCAGTACGTGTATACATAGTGACGTACACAGCAAGGCAGCACATGCCGGCTTTTGCGGAATTGTATCGGCACTGTACGTATGTCGTGAGTTCTTGAGTCGTGGAGTTTCAGTAGCCTGCTGAGTGCCATCCTCCACAGTTACCACCGGCTCCGTATTGTCGCTAATAAGTACCATGGCTACCCAGGTTTAGAGCCATGCCAGAGCCTCGGAGGACGTGATCTGTTATTTTTGTTTTTTTTAGAACAGCCGAAAATCAGTGCGCGCGCGGATTTCATTCATAAAATTAAATTGGTGTGGCCTAATAGTAAATTTGGGAGAGTCCGATCTTCTGTGTTGGCCATCACAGTTCAAGCCTGTTTCATTGTGCCTCTAGCTGTTAGAATTTTCCCCAGCAGCAGAAACCTGATATGTTGAATATTGTACATTCTTCAGGTTCATCTGGGTCCGAGCCTAACGACAAGCGCCAAGCGGCCGACCCCGAACCTGCCTCTGCTGAGACCGCTGGGTACATCCCAGGGGTCGGTATGAGGAGCCCTGGTCAGTCCCGAGTCTGGACCAGCGCCATGTTGAAAACCTACGCTGTTGTGACAATGGTCCTGATTTTCTGTCTGCTGGGAGTTACCACCTTTCTGGGTAAATAAATGAGCAATGTATTTTTTTTAGAATTTGTTAGTAGAAAATGTCTTTCGTCTTTCCTACATTATTCGGTGCTTTCGTCCATTTATACAGCTATGAAGATGTCTGACCTGAAGTTGACCGTCCGAAAGCGTGACCGGGAGACAAAGGGCGATCTGAAAGACCTGAAGCTATCAGTCAACAAGCTCGACCAGAAGACAACTGATGATCTGTCGGATCTGAAGCTGGCATTAAACAAGCTCGACAAGAAGACAACTGATGATCTGTCGGATCTGAAGCTGTCAGTCAGTAAGCTGGACACGAAGACAGCCGGAATCCAGGCCAACGTCTCTGGGTGGATTTATCGCCAGCAGGTTAGAAGAAAATGCTTCTCATAAAAAAATATCAGGGCCTAGATGACATATTGGAGAGTTGATGAATTCTAATCGATGTGTTACTAATTTTATCAGTAAAATCCAATATTATCTAATGACATATCGCTGCTAAGATGGCGGAATTGAGGTACCGAAAATCTTACTGAGCTATATTCATTGCTTCCATCCATTTCGAAACATGACTGTAAAGCAGGGCATTTGATTTACAGGAAATGTCGGCAAAGCTCGTGGAAAATGAGAAAGCTGTGAACAACGTTGCAGCCAGCGTGACACAGATGACCAAGTCAGGACTGAAGAAGGAGAAGATACTACAACGCCCGAACAAGCTGGAGGACAACATGAAGAACAAACAAGACAAATCGGAGAAGGAGCGCGCTCCGATACGCCTACCAGGTACAGTATGAAGATTTCACAATATGGTAACTTAAGTGGTTTTATTATTCATTAGCCCCGTCTAGCTTCTTCTGCCAAATGCATCATTCCCTTTGTCGGTTAAGCACAAATTAATGACTTACCATGACTAACTAGATTAGTGAAAAAAGAATTGCACAGACGAGAATTGGAGTAGACTACAGTCTATGCGGCATAAGTGTCATGTTTCTCAAGACCAGACATTTCCTGTTTCTAGCGACCTGTCCTGACGGTTACAAGAAGTACCATGAAATCTGCTACAAAGCCTTTCAAGCCTTGAAGACCTTCTCCAAATCGGCCGAGACCTGTCGGGCTGACGGAGGCACCCTGGCCATGCCCCGCGACGCCGGTATCCACGACTTCCTCGTCTCCCTGATGAAACAGACATTCGATTTTTGGATCGGCTTACATGATGAGCGACAGGAAGGCAAGTGGGAGTGGATAGACGGCACCGCTCTGGGGAAAGGCTACAACCGGTGGGGGAACGGTCAACCCAACAACGTTGGGGGAAATCAGCACTGCGCTTTGTACTTGGGATCGGACAGGTCTCCCTCGTCGGTCTGTTGGTATGATGCGAATTGTAACATGAGCTTCGGTTTCATCTGCCAAGTCCTGACATCAGGTTCGTATCATTTCACAAACTAGCGTGATATTTTATGAATAATGCAGACATGTCGAGTTAACAGATACAAGTATTGAGTATACAAACCTGTTTGTGCACAAAATTTTTTTCCAAAGTACTATCAGTACGTAGCTAGTAGCATCGACTTGTCAAAATCAATGATTTGTACTAAATTATACATCCTTGGAACATGCATGTAGGGTAAGATCATCCAACAATAATTAATAATGGCAACTGAGACAAAAATGCTAATTTCTAATGCTAAAATAAAGTAAGTAGACAGGACTAGACAAAATACTGAGAACAGCCCTTTGCTAATCACAAATCTTTTATTCATCTTCCCTTCAGCTGCTCCAGGCAAGTAACCGGACCCCCATATATGGGAAGCGGCCCCGGCTACAGTCGTGAAACGTGGGCCCCGACATCCGGGTGTGTAGACGACTTAGAAATGACGTAGACGTCACATGTAGAAAGATCCAACATTTTAGACTGAGGCAGGTTTAATTCCACGGACAGCGCCACGGCGCTACTAGTCTGCTTACGTAACTAAGGCTTTAATGTCTTGAGATGACATAATAAGAGTACACAATTTTGCACTGTTTTAGTTTTTGCCTTTAAATGTTTTGTGATGACAAAAAATACATGTAACAACAGTGACCGGAGCAGTAACTAAAGAAGATACAGCGTTAGTTCGCCTTGCATTCAGGAGATCGACGATTAATAACAATGTCTTCTAGAATGATTCCATTTTTCAGCGGTTTTGCCCAGTGCAGTACCATATAGGCTTAGTGTTGTGGAGGACAAGATATGAGGGGTCAATACATGTATAAACGTAGAATTTCGTAAGAGTTGTATAAAAGTTGCGGAGCGTATGATGAAAAGATGAAACGGTGGGTAAAGTACAATGGCAGAGTGAATCAATTGCTTTATCATCATTGTTAAAACATTAAAAATGACACATGCTGAAAGAAAGATGAAAGGCCTGCCTCGACCCTTGGTTTGTCAATAAAATATTGTTGACACTGAGGACATGGGTGAGGCGACACCGCCCTGTGTGCTTGCGCAAAATAGAATAATAGTAGGGATGATACCGGCTAAACATGACCTTTGCAAAGAAAAAACATGTAAAAGTGCTGTGAGCTTAATTGGTCTGCGAGTGTTGCGAGTGGTTCTTGGAACGTCACTGTTTGGTACGCATATGGATGGAAGGGAGACGAGTCTTTCCTCGCGCGGCTTTCTGTGTTGATTCAATTCATGTAATCTTCAGTGCCAACTGCTAACGTCAGAAACAGACAATCATTGTGGGTGTAAAAAATAACAGAGAACGTTTGAAACGCTACATTTCGGGTAAACAAGTTGGTGGCGAGAGGACGGCTGCCTGCGCTGCGATGGAAGGCGTCTACAAGGAGGCCTGCAACGTCAGCAGTTCCTACAACGAGGATGCCAGCAATGACTACGAAGAGGCCTGCACGGTCTCTCCGTCGAGGGTTTCAACTACAAAGAGGGCCGCTGGCCTGAACCTCGCCTCAGACTCAGCAAAAGAACCAGGTAAGGATCTGTAAAGATCAGAAATAACTCAGAAGCGCCAGACATTCTTACTACCACATACGAACCCACACTGTTACCGATAGAAATGTGATCGTCACCTGTTATGTCAAAATGTAGTACAACCTAATAAGCAAGGGCTCCAAGACGAAACTGTAGAAATTTTGTCAATTATGCAAATTAGGCCTTCTTTGTTAAGTCATTGGGTTGATAATATGATCAACTGAAGTAGTTTATACAAAAGAGGATATTATTTCCATGATTGAGGAGGAAAATGCATAATTTACAATAGAAAGACTGACATTTGCTCAGGAGCAAATGGCTTCACCACATGCCCCGTACAAAAAATGGACCTATCCCACTTCACGGTGTTGTGAAGCCATAATAATACGTTTCACCACACCACGAAGCCATAATATGTCATAGATTATAAAATCATTTAGCAAAGGTATAGTGTCTCTAGTTTTATCCTGAAAGTTTGTCTGTTTTGTCATTTTTATAGAAGTCATTATGAAACAAGTTTGAACTGTAAAGTCAATTTTATAGTAATGTTAAATTTGGGTGAGTCCGATCTTTTGTGTCGGCCATTACAGTTCAAACGTGATTCTTAGTGTCTCTAGTTGTTAAAATTTACCCCAGAAAAAAAAACATGATATACTGAATACTGTACATTCTTCAGGTTCGTCTGGGTCTCTGTCTAAGCGCCAAGCCACCGACCCCGGAACTGCCTCTGCTGAGACCGCTGGGTACATCCCAGGGGTCGGTCTGAGGAGCCCTGGTCAGTCCCGAGTCTGGACCAGCGCCTTGTTGAAAACCTACGCTGTGGTGACAATGGTCCTGATTTGCTGTCTGCTGGGAGTTACCATCTTTCAGGGTAAATAAATGAACAATGTATTTTTTAAAATATTGTTAGTAGAAAATGATTGAAAACCGAACCTTCATTAATTATAATTGTCTGTCCTCTTTCCTACATTATTCGGTATTCTCGTCCATTTTATGCAGCTATGAAGATGTCTGACCTGAGGTTGACCGTCCGAAAGCTTGACCAGGAGACAAAGCGCGATCTGAAAGACCTGAAGCTGTCGGTCAGCAAGCTGGACACGAAGGCAGGCCAAATCCAAGCAAACCTCTCTGGATGGATTCATCGCCAGCAGGTATGAAGCAAATTCTTTTTGTAAAACATATCAGAGCCTAGATGATATACTGGAGAGTCAGTGAATTCTAATCGATGTGTTACTAATTTTAACAGTAAAATCCAATATTATCTAATGATATATATTGCCGCTAAGATGGCGAGTTGAGGAACCGCATATCTCACTGAGCTATATCCATGCATTGCTGCCATCCATTGCGAAACATGACTGTAAAGCAGGGCATTTGCTTTACAGGAAATGTCGGCAAAGCTCGTGGAAAATAAGAAAGCTGTGAACAACGTTGCAGCCAGCGTGACACAGCTGACCAAGTCAGGGCTGCTGGACAAGGAGAAGAAACTGCAACGTCTGGAGAAGCTGGAGGACAACATGAAGAATAAACAAGACAAACCGGAGAAAGAGCGCGCTCCGATACGCCTACCAGGTATAGTAAGGTTTCATTATATGGTGAGTTAAGTGGTTTTATAATTCATTAGTCCCGTCTAGCTTCTTCTGCCAAATGCATCATTCCCTTTGTCAGTTAAGCACAAATTAATGACTTACCAATAACTTCTGATATAAAACTAGATTAGAGAGAAAAAAAATGCACAGACGAGAATTGGAGTAGACTACGCCTATGCGGTATAAGTGTCATGGCTCTCAAGACCAGACATTTCCTGTTTTAGCGACCTGTCCTGACGGTTACAAGAAGTACCATGAAATCTGCTACAAAGCCTTTCAAGCCTTGAAGACCTTCTCCAAATCGGCCGAGACCTGTCGGGCTGACGGAGGCACCCTCGCCATGCCCCGCGACGCCGGTATCCACGACTTCCTCGTCTCCCTGATGAAACAGCTACTACCGCTATTCGATTATTGGATCGGCTTACATGATGAGCGACAGGAAGGCAAGTGGGAGTGGATAGACGGCACCGCTCTGGGGACAGGCTATAACCGCTGGAAGAACGGTCAACCCAACAACCATGGGGGGAATCAGGACTGCGCTTTGTACTGGGGATCGGGCAGGTCTCCCTCGTCGGTCTTTTGGTATGATGAGAATTGTAACATAAGCTTCGGTTTCATCTGCCAAGTCCTGCCATCAGGTTCGTATCATTTCACAACTGATGTGATATTTAATTAAGAATGCAGACATGTCGAGTTAACAGATACAAGTACTGAGTATACAAACTTTAATGTTTTTCCAAGGACTATCAGTGCGTATCTGGTAGAACTGTCGTGTAAAAATCAATAATTTGTACTAAATTATACATCATTCCACAATGATAAAGAATGGCAAATGAAACATAAATGCTAATTCATGATGCTGAAATAAAGTAAGCAGACAGGAATAGAGAAAATACTGAAAACAGCCCTTTGCTAATCACAAATCTTTTATTCATCTTCCCTTCAGCTGCTCCAGGCAAGTAACCGGGCGCCCACATATGAGGGAAGCGGCCCCGGCTACAGTCGTGAAACGTGGGTTCCGACATCCGGGTGTGAAGACGACTTAGAAGTGACCTAGGCGTCACATGTAGAAACAGCCTACATTCTAGGCTGAGGCAGAGACTTTCTTGTGTTGGACCAAAAGTTTTACCTTTCAAAAGCTTCCTTTTAAGTTGCATTTTTTTCTTTCCCACATATTTTTCTCTGCTGA